GTAAGAGTGAATGTGACCATCATTAGTTGTTGCCACAGATTTGGATTTTGATCGAGGCATTCAAACACATAAATTGTATGTTTTAGTTGTCATGCTGAAAGGAAACAACTGCCAGATTTATACAAATTATTTTTTTTATTTGGAATTGGCTCGCTCTATATTAACATTAGTTCAGAGGAACAGTAATCTTGACAACATGATTCTTCCCGCCCCTAGTTTTACCATGGGTTTGTTCACTTTTGGTAACTTTTTGTTTACTGCATGACTTATGATGTATTCCTCAGATAGAGCAGAGGATGTTTAAAAAGTCCTCTAGACTGCTTCTCATATTAATCCTCCTCTTGCCCCATCTGTCAGTCTAGATTGATCTGTTCTCCCTGAAATGCATAATTTCTTGTAGATTGTTTTATCATCTAAGACTGCAATAAAATTCTTAATGACTTCCTTCCTCACCTGCATGTTGTTTCATTTTATAGAACACCTGCATACACATAGAAATTAAATCAAACCCAGCCAGACTCTGTTTACTTATAGGTTACTAATAAAGGTTGCTCAAGGCATGGTTTATTGATATTGGAACAAACGGAGTAGACTAGAAATGCAATAAACAACTTTTAGATTTCCTTTTCTTTCTACCTCTCTGATGCACCATATGCTAGCTTTTGTTTGTTTATCACATAGAATTTCAGTAAAATGCTTTAAGGTTTGTGGTCTCTGGGTCATATTTGCTGGACTGACATGTTGGACTACAGCAGTAAGATCTTTGAAGCCACAATGAATTTAAGCTTTAAAGACATGTTTTACTTTTAAAGTGAACTTGTTAAAAGTTACATGACTCCCCGCTATAGCAACAGTAATAAATCTGTTTGATGTGGAGATGTGATTTATTTCAATTCATTAATTCCTACCTGCATAGGGTTTCTGCTGTGTCAGTATCTCCCACATCACAATCCCGAAGCTGCAGATCAAAGCAGAAAGAAGCTGTTCAGTGATCAAATTGTATTTACCATTTTAAGATTTCAGGGAATTTTGTGACCTTTACTATGTCACACAAAGGACACTAACAATTCCCCCGTCCTTCTTTCTGACACATCCAACAAAATAATTTAAAAAAAAGGGCACCACACCATGAATCAGATGGGAGAAAAATGCCGGATATCTCTTTGACTGGAAGATACCAGAAACATCCAGAATACAGAGGAGAAATAGTGTACGCTGTGTGAATGTTGGGTTGTGCACTGAATCAAAAAATGAAATACAGAGATTCTGATTGTGTCCTCTGAAAAAAGCCCCTTGCAGGTCACCTGTAAACATCAAAAGCAGTTCCTGGTGAATCAGAGCACTGGGTGAAGACTTCAGGAGGAATGTAATTTATGTTGCCTCGTGCTGTCAGGCGCTCCATCAACACAGTCTTGCTCATGCCATCTTCCCACTGGATTATACCATAATCTGAAATCTGAAGCAAGAAGAGCTGGATTTACTCATCAGCATTCATGACTATGTAATACGCAGGCAGGTATATCACTGACCTTGACATGAAGATGATCATCCAGTAGGATATTGGATGTCTTGAGGTTAAGATGCAGCAGCGGAGGTTTCATGCTGTGAAGGAAATTCATGCCCATGGAGATTTCATGAATCATCTGAAACTTCTTCTTCCACATAAAGTTGTGACTGGCAAGGAGATTGTTCAGGGATCCATTAGTCATGTACTCCATAACGACAGCATTGGCTTCGCTGCACACTCCATAGATGGACATAATGTATTTGAACTTTAGTTTTGCTATGTTAGATACTTCATCACTTATTTTCCTGTGACATAAAAAGAAAAAAAATCACCCATTATTTCAATGAACAAAATTCTGGTTTGATAATTAATCACTCTTGTAAGTTAAATTGTTAGAGTTCATACATCCCACTCAGAACCACTATATATATTTAGTTTTTATACATCCCATGAATGTTTAATGAGCCAGAGGTGGACAAGAACTATCTGAATTTTGAATATAGGAAGATTTATCCAATCTAAAACCATCTAGAGGGAGGTCATGCTATAAGATAAACATTTATGTCTGAGTTTCAGTGAGTTGACCAAGGCTGACTTCTTTGGTGCAAACTAATTAGAAAAGAGGCTCATAAACAAGTCAAAAGCCACAAAGCCCATCATAAACTGGAGGATTATGTCACTGAATTCAAACTTTAAAAAATCCTTGTTAAACATATCATGACATCATTCTGCCATGGTAAAAGAATTGTTTATATATGAAACAGAAGCCTGAGAGTTTTCTCAACGTACATCTTACCTGTAAAAGTTGTTACCACACAAGGTTGCATCAAAGGTTTTCAATGCACACTTCTCCCGCCAGAGCTTCACTTTGACTTTGTACACCTGGCCAAATTTGCCTTCAGCCACCTTAATCCAATCTGCCTCAAAGTCATCCTTTTTGAAGTCCCTGAACTGTCCAGGGGATCTGTCACAGCAATCCATGAGTAGAAGGAAACACAGAATGTTCTTACCGTCCAATCCTACAGCGAAAAATTGTCTTAACCTTCAGATCCATCTAAGCCAGTTAATCTACAGAAACCTGTGATTCATCCGGTGAACTGAAAGTTCACAACATACACGAGAGCTTTGACAGGTTACAGCTGGTTGCAGAGACAGTTTAGAGTTTTGAACTGTGGGAGGAGCTGAAGCTGAAAGCTTGTTTGTGTTGTAATGTCGCTCAACCAGTTTTCCTACCCTCAGGTTGCGTCAATGAACAACTCTGTAATCTATTCAACCTAAACTTAAAATCTCTTCTCTTCAATAGTAAGATAACGTCGAACTGTCCCGAACATTCAGATTGAACAACAGCAGCAGGGCATCCATTCCAACCGCTAAGACAATATCTACACACTGTGTTTCAGGCGTGTATTTACAGTAAGTTAACTGCCTAATGAACCATGCACTTCCTTCTAAATGTACTTTAACAAGGCATTTAACCCCCAGCAGTCTCAGTGGAAAGGTTCAGTGCTTTCCAAGTTGAAGTTAAAGAAATGGCCATTTAGCTAACACCAGGAGTGTATTTATGGAACAGCAAGATACACAACTGCTCTGAATAATGTAAAATTTAAGTTGTCTTATAAAATATATCTTATTAAGAACATTTTATTTATCAAACATGAATTAAGTCTGTCAGTATATAAAGCTTTCTGTCATTCAGCCTCATTTGTCTCTTTCTATTGTAACTGTCGCATCTGTTTTTATGTATAGTGTAACCTATTCAGCAGGACTTTTGTCTTTTTAGTTTCCTGAGTCCTTGTATTCTGCATTATTTTAGAACAGCTTTGTTTACAGACGTCTTTTCTCAGATAACTCTTTCCAGTCTCTTCACGGATTGAACAATAACCTCAAAGCCAGCTGTTCTCTTTGAGATTAGAGAAACTATCAAAGCTTTCCTCAGCTGGAGTCCATACACAATCAAATGACTGCTGTTATAAGGCAAGGTTAGGTAAGGACAGCAGCTTTTGTATTTTAGCAGAAACTTTTGAAAGGTGCAGGTTAAAATAGTTTTTTAATCAAGTGATTACTGCTATTTCAAAGTATTCATATAAACAATGCCATGGATTTCCTCTGAATCTATTACTGTGATTAAAAAACTTCTACATCTACAGTTTTCCCTATTTATCTACAAAATAATAATTTTAACTGGTTGAAGCAGACAGAAACAGAAATATTACAGTTTTGCCTAAAGGACTAATATAGTTATAGCCTTGCTCATTTAGGTTGTTTAATGTCTTGATTAAATATTTGTTTATTCTCTTAAAAAACAGACTTTGCATTTAATCAGGCATGGCCCATGTTTACAGATGTTTGTGAGGGAAAATGGGTAAATGTAGCATTTCTGCAGGCACAGAGTGAATTATTTACCCAAAAGAAATAGGATTTTGATGAGTGAACCTTCATAATTGATGAGTGAAAGTTCATTATAATGTAGTGATAGAGAAAACACTTTTTTGTTTTGTTTTGACAAATATAGGGTAGGTTTGAAGTCCACTGTAGGTCTTTCTGCGTTTAAGGCTGGTCTGCTTTGTCTGTGGCAGATTTTTATCCAGCACTGCCTTGCCTTTGCTTCACTCCATCTTACTATCTTCTCTGGCTAGATTACCTGACCCTGCTGAGAAAACTGATGGGAATAATGTGTTGTGGTGATGTGAAAAGATCTCCCACATTGTCTACTTATCTCACTGCCTTCTTCACATGTTTTCTTTGTCTCCTATGGCTTGTTATAAACTAAGATTCTTTTGGCTTTATTTCAACAAGTTATCTCTTACTGCTACTCTTTCCAAGGGCAGATTTATAACCTACATGACTCATATTTTTTGTGTCAATCAGTTTTCTAGAGTATCTACTGTATTTTACGTTTCCCAGAGCTGTGGATCTCTGCAGCTCTTCCAAGGTTGCTGTGGACTCTTTGTTGCCACCTGATGGTCAGGACTGAGTAAGATGTGCTATAATTTATTTATGGACATGTTAAAACCTAACTCTTCTTTGTGCTTCTTCACAGCATTCTTCCTTACCCTTCTGTAGTCTTCCTCAGTTTTTGTGATGCTGTTTTGTTAAGGTCTTCAGAAAAAGGTTGTATTCATACTGATATCAAATTATAACTAACTGGTTCATATTTTTCTTAGCTGACTTTTAAAAGCTGAAGGGATATTAGTATAATGTGAAGTCAACGTAAATTAATGTCAAACATCTAAATTATGCACAATAGTTGTGTTGGTCTATCATATGAAATGATAAATGAAAAATATTTAACTTCAAACATGTAATGTCTAAAAAACATAGGACACGTGTGAATACATTGTTAAAGCATCATAGTGAGTCCAAAATTTTCATCACCCCAAATTGTTTAAGAAATCTGGTGTTTAATAGAATTTATTTGAGGCAATTGTGGTAAACGGGAGGTCTTCAAATAAAATGAGAAAGAAAAATGCTCTGTGTTAACCTTCCTTTGTTTTAATTCCTACCTGCTTCTCCATTTGATATCAAACTATCGTTTACAACCTAATAATCTGGAGACATAAGGTCATATCACAGTATTAAGGCATATACATACCTTTTATGTAGAGAAAAATTGGGGGGGAATCCTTAGGGTTTCTTGCCATTTATGGAGATATTTAGCCCACAGGCTTCTTCATTTCTAGCAGTTATAGTATAATATACCTCCTGAGGAGCAAATAATGAAAACCTCTAAATTGTGCTTAGCCCACCTACACAGTACAATACTTATTTCTTTTTTTTTTCTTTGTTCTTGTCATCCTCCAGGTTTCATACCCTGGTGATGTATATTTGATTTATTAGGATTTTGGTTTTATAACATGCCTGGTAAGTTAGCTCCAGGTCCAGATGGCTCTTTCATTTCTTCCCCTTGTACACATGCTTTGAGCTGGATCTCTGTTCATGCTTGAATTTTTAAGGCATGGTTAGAAGCTCAGATTTAATGAATTGGCTTCAATAGTATCGCAGCCTTTTTTTTAGTATTCTATAGAGCAGCAGTGCCTGGATTATTCTGTGAAATGCCTGCTGCAAACCAAAAACCAAAATGTGTAAATGCATTACTAAAGGGCTTTATTTAATTGAAGATTGCTGATTACTTCAACACACTAAAACAACTAATGGTAACTTTAAAAACCCTTGAAAAAAATTAAATAAGACATGAACAGAAAAAGATGCTTCAAAAAAATCTATTTGGTTCAGAGTATTTCTCTGCACAGACACACAACCACGAACGTTCAAAACAATACATACTAATTACAAGCCATATTTACATTGTTTTGTCTTTATTAATCAACACTCCCAAAGAGAAAATCAACGCCAGGCTGAATAATGAACTATCAAGCCCACAACCTTTCAAGTCGCCTAATTTATGAAAGGAGGTGGTGAAAAATGAATTTAACATTCACTGACAGCCATAGTTTCATGCTTCACTAACTCCCATTATTATTTAGGACAGACCCGTGGATTGATGCTCCAATGAAAACCAGGAAGTCGTGATCAGATTTCTGATAGGCTACCTGAGGGGAGAAGTCTGTCTCCAGTGATGGAAGCTTGCAGGGCCAGCCAATCATATTAGCAGGCTACACTACAACAGCTAATCTGACTGGTTAGAGCTAAAGGTCTTTTCTATTGCCCCATATGTCCTCTAACACCTTAACTCAAGCCTCTCAATCACAGATGTGGGCAAACATAAGTAAATCACAACTAGATCATAAAGGGCAATGCTTTTTTGTTTTCCCTGGATCAAAGTGTGTCAGTGACTCACTTTTGAGCTTTTATTTGCCCTTTCCTTAACTCTCAAAACATTTTTGGTGAAGTCTTGGCACATCTATTTTAACGCCAAGGTGGAAAATATGCAGTAAACAGCAATAACACTCACTCAAGGAGGCTGTTGTGTGATTTAGATCCAATTAGAATACCAACCCTATTTAGCATAATTAAAATAAAAGCACGACCATCTGCTTTCATAAGTACCCTAATTAGTGCTCTAAGTAGAGTGAGATAGCCTCAGACATAAGTGATCAAACAGCATCATGAGGACCAGGGAAAATACCAGACAGGGCAGAGTTAAAGTTGTGAAAAAGTTTTAAGAAGGAGCAGAGTATGACAAATTATTCCATACTTTAAAATCTCACTTTTCAAATCAATCCATCATCTGAAAGAATAAATGTGAAACGATAAAGCAGTTCTACCTGAACTGCCAAACAGGGAGAAGGAGAGCATTGATCACAAAAGCTGTCCAAAGCTCCACATTAAAGAAGTGGCAGATATCCAAACTTCAGGGAAAAAAAATCTATATCTATCACAGCTATTAGTCTTTCACATATCTAGTCTTTATGAAGGAAAATCATGATGAAAGACACTCTTCAAAGAGACACAGCAAACATGTGGAGTTTGGCTTATATTCTAATCTCTACGTGTTGCAGAATATGAACACTGCTCATCCCCTTGGATGTAAAATGCTCACAATACAACACAGCTGTGGCAACAACCTGCTATCTGAATATATAAATGGAGATAATTTTAAAATGCCTTGTGTTACCTACCACAAAATATCCAAAAGGAATATATTGATGTTTGTCGTTTTCAGAATGAGGGATCACTGAAAATCTAATGCTATTGAATATCTTTATATTATTTAGCATTGCATGAATAATCTGAACTGAGACGTCTCAGGCACTGCTGTGTCAGAAAGCTGCTGAACAAGTCTTTCAAGTCTCCAGAATGCAGGTAAAGCTTAAGACCACGAGTCTATGGTAACATAAAAAACACTGACAGTAGATAACTTTTTGGTTCTCAGTACATCATAAATAATATAAACCAAAAGGATCATAGAGAACTTGATAAAGAAGCATACAGTAGATCATGCGCTATGACAATTAGACTCCTTAAAAAAATGAAGGCCTATGTTTTGGATAAACCTTGGGGAACATTAAACGCTTCATTAAACCATGAATGATTTTTGACTTTTAGAGTAATTTTGATGGAAGGGAAATAGGTTTAGCAGCCCACTTTTCTAAAATAAAGTGGGCTGAAGAGAGAGTGAAAGCTACAGAATATTGCTGGTGTTGGGATCCTCTGGCTTGCCCACCAGAGGGCGCCGAGG